AAATGGCTTGAAGGCACACAACAACATTCTCACAGTCTTCAAGATTCATATTCCTTCACATTCCTTCGAACGACAGAGAATTTCATCATAACATTTAAAGTTATTTCAAAATACAACTTGACTTACTCACTCAAACTGCCAATGTATTTTTGACATTATTTCTTATATGAAAACAACTGCAAAGGTATTAGGAAACAATTATAACTATTTAAATCCCAAAATGTAAAGTATCAGTAGCAATTCAGCTATAGTTCTATCAGGAGCTGTTACTTGGTCAAGCAGAAAGGTGACACCAGAACTTCTATGCTTAAAATGTCACATGGTTAGCAAGGAAGATTTGACAGTGTAGGAACCCTAATCGAAATCAAGTTCACTGCAAATAATAGTATAAATATAATATGGAGGTATGTGTTTAGAAGGAAGAAGGTTGTCCCTTTAGTGAGAACTTCACTCCCTCATCCATCCTGAAAGGCCACTGAATTTCTACAAATGAAAGAATAACGCTGTGTGTGAACTAGGAGTGACTGGGAAAGAATAATTGAGAATATCTGCCAAACTGTCAGTATAACCCAGTACTCTAGAAAAGAAGGATTATAGAGAAGTAGAAGAACATACAGACTGCCACTCATTTGCAGAAAAGGGATGATTTTTTTTTCTAGTATCAGAGGAAAGAAGAACTGGGTTTCACTGTCACTAGGGGCACTGGGAAGTCCGACAGTTAAGATACATATATTACAATCAGTAAAACTGACAGTGGACATCATACCTGAACTTTGGGAATTTCAATGCTAGGACAACAGGACTCCAAACATGCCTACCAACTACAAGCAGTCCCTGAGTTACAAACATCCGACTAACAAATGACTCATGGTTACAAATTATTGTTATTATTATTCAAAACTTTTATATCCTGATCTTCTCAACCTCCACAGAGGGACTCAGACCTGCTCACAGCAAGAATTCAATGCCACAATACAGTCTAAAACATCATACAACGACAAGATTAAAATACACAAAAAGTAAAATACATATTCGACAAGATAAAATCATGTCCAACTCAGTCCACATATGTCAATAACTTTCGTCTGTTGCTGATCTCAAATGGGGATGAAGCAACAGGGAATGAGAGAAATCTACCCCTAGGAAGGGGAATTCACTCCTGAAAGAGTTATCATGGGGAAAAGGTGTCTCCACTGAAGCTTGATCACCAATATTTGTTTCCACAACAAGCTAATTTTTTAAAAAAAATCAAATTATCACAGGGATAGAAAGTGAGGTGAAATCTACTGAAAAGGGGCACAGACAGAAAAACAAACACCACAGAGATGTTAACCATTCCCTATGCTATCCTGTGTGTGTGTGTGTGTGTGTGTGTGTGTGTGTGTTTGTGTGTGTGTGTATTTGACTGGACTTACATTTAAAAATATACCTATTCCAAATTACATACAAATTCAACTTAGGAACAACCCTACAGAACCTATCTTGGTTGTAACTTGGGGCTTGGTTGTAATTTGTGGCTTCCCAGATGCATCTGTGGGCAAACAAGAGTACATTCTCATCTCTCGATCCTTCAAAAGTCATCAACCATTAAAAAAGAGGAGCCTGGTAGCAATGCAAAAACATACAATTCGATTGATCTCTCACAATGCTTCCAGTACGCTAATGAATCCAGTCAAGATGTTTGAAAGGAACACCTTTATGGAGGTATGTGAGTCAGTCTGACCAGTGATTCCCAACCTCCAATCCTCCAGGTGTTTGGACTTCAACTCACAGAAGTCTCTGCTGTCTTGGGCTATGTTCAGGGTCTCTAGTAGCTGAAGTCAAAATCACCTGGAAAACGAGTTTGGGAAACACTGGATAGATTCTGTCTATCTCATAGATGAAAGCCAGTGTGGTTTAGTGGTTTGAGCATTGAACTGCAAATCTGGAACCCAGCCATGGACACCCACTTGAGCGAGTCACTCACTCTCAGCGCTCAAAAGCTCCATGATAGATTTGCCTTAGGGTTGACATAAATCAGAAATAACTCAAAAGCACACAACAACCATCCCACAGACACTTGCGCCTACCAGGCTACACCTTCTGATGAATTACAGAGAGCCTTCCTAAAACACAGAGGTAACAGCATCCCTACTCAAGGAAGATGAGCAACCAACAGGTATTTATTTATTATTTATTTATTTAGAGCTTTTATAACCCGGTATTCTCAATATCCAAAGAGGGACTCAGGCCTGTTGTCATTAAAGACTGTTGTCATTAAAGATAACAGTTCACATATGGGACACAGAAAGCAAAAGGACTGGTTTCTTGCTCAAAAGAATGGATTCAACATTTTCAAGAAGGCACAAAAGCACTACTCATTCCATCCACATTAATCAGATAGATAGATAGATAGATAGATAGACAGATAGATAGATAGATAGATAGATAGATAGATCTGTATAATGCAGATAGGGAGGTCCTATTTCTACTGAAGGAGAACAGCAATTCTTCTAAGGTCCCACCAGTGAACAATTTTCCAAGAAATGGTGCTGGAGAAAATGGCAAAAACATCAGCTTTACATAGATATTCAGTTTGGAAGCTATTGTTTATGTTTAGCATTTGTATCTTTTTCCCAAACAAGTTTATTGTTTTAAATGGAATCATGTTAATTATTTTTATAGTATCTTGGCATTCCGCCTCCCCAAATGCTGTCTCTTAAGAAAAGAAGCCAGATCTCAACTATGCCTTAAGGCATATCTTCATAAACATTTACATGACATTTTCTGATCTGGGATCTTCCAGGGCTAGCTTCTTGAGGGGTGCATCTACCCTATAGAATTAAGATAGTTTGATACCATTTTAACTCACTATTGTGAAATTGTGGGATTTGTAGTTTAGTGAGGCACCAGCACTCTATGGCAAGGAGGCTCAAGAACTTATAAAAGTACAACTCCCATAATTTCATAGCACTGAGCCATGTCAGTTAAAGTGCTGTCAAGCTGCATTAATTAAATATCATAAATATACTCTAACATACAAGAGTATATTTATGGCATGATTTGGATGAGGAATTATTCAGCTTGACTTTCATTTTCTTTTTCAGATCTGGATTTCATAAAATGGGCTTTTTTGAAGAGGAAGTAGACAAGGCTGAGTGGAGAGCAGAAGACTGGGGGGCATCATATAATGATGATGATGAGGAGTATTATTATTACTATTATTATGCCATAATCAGCTGTCAGAATTCAAAACATAATGAAAGACCTCTCTCTTCCAGCAGGCCTACTCAAGTCCATTGCAAACTGTGAATATTTACCTGCATTTTATCAATATTAGGGTTAATTTTTGTAATATGTATATTTTAATATATGTATTTTAATAGTATTAGATTTTACCTGTCTGAGGAGATATTATTATTTTATTATTTATCACTCTGAGCCAGAGTGAAGCTAGAGGAGGCCAGGGGACAGTTCCAACTTGTCTCCTGTGCTATGCTAATTTATTAATATAATATAATACATATAATATTTATAATATCATAATGTAATACATAATAATACTACTAATAATATTATAATTATATATTTTATGTTACATGTAATATTACTAATAATATTACAATATAATTGTATAGTACAATATAGTGATGCATAGCGCTGATACTGTACTGTGCTCATGGTATAATGTAGTGTGTGTGTGTGTGTGTATATATATACATATACATATATATATATATAGTAAGCAGCTCTGAGTCCCCTTCAGGGTGAGAAGGGCGGCATATAAATGTCGCAAATAAATAAATAAATAAATATTAATATTACTATCACTGTACTATAATCAGCTGCCAGGATTCAAGACATGCTGGACGACCTTGCTCTTCCAGCAGGCCTACCCAGGTCTATTGAAAACTGTGAATATTTACCTGCATTATATCAATATTAGGATTAACTTTTGTAATATATTTATTTTAATAGTAGTAAATTTAATAGTATTATATTTTATCTGTCTGAGAAGATGCAATCATTTGATATATAACAAGATTAGTCCACAGCAAACAAGATCACTATGCTGGCCTTTGTATTTGATCACATATTGGACACTTCCCAAGTGAGCCCCTGGTGGCGCAGTGGGTTAAACCCCTGTGCCGGCAGGACTGAAGACCGACAGGTTGCAGGTTCGAATCCGGGGAGAGGCGGATGAGCTCTCTCTGTCAGCTCCAGCTCTCCAAGCAGGGACATGAGAGAAGCCTCCCACAAGGATGATAAAAACATCAAATCATCCGGGTGTCCCCTGGGCAACGTCCTTGCAGACAGCCAATTCTCTCACACCAGAAGCGACTTGCAGTTCCTCAAGTTGCTCCTGACATGACAAAAAAAACCAAACTTCCCAAGTGTCCAGGACTATGTGATGTATCAGTGAATAATGCATGCAGATCTGATAGGGTGGCCTTTTGCAGCTGACAGATAGTAATTTTCTCAGCGTCGATTGTTTTTAGTGCAGGCCAAGGACTTCAGGCACTGCACCCACTACTGGGACTACCTTGACTGGCTTGTTCCAGAGTCTTTGCAGTTCAATTTTTAAATCCTCATACCATGTCAGCTTTTCCAGTTGTTTCTCATCAATTCTGCTGTCACCTGGGATTGAAACATTGATCCACACTAGTTTTTTTTCCCCCCATGATCGTGAGGTCAGGAATATTGTGCTCCAAACTATGTCAGTAGGCTGTTAGGAACTGTGAGAGTTGGAGTCCAAAACACCTGGAAGGCCCAGGTTTGCCCATGCCTGTGCTATTATGATGAGGACTATATTTCTTAACTGCCCTTCCTAAGAATACAGCATGGTTGAAATACACAACCTTAAAAGACACAGGGCAAGGGTTAAAAGTAAGGGAGATCAGAGAGAAAATGAGGACTGAGGACCTGGGAAGGGGGAAAGGGAAGGAGAATAGGAAGAAGGAGGCAAAAGGGAGGCGATGGAGAAGAGAAGAGGCTCTTTGGAAGGCTGGGCTTGGACTCACCTGGCCCTGGAAGGCTCCTCTCTGCTGGGAAGGTGAGAAGGAAGGAAGGCAGGCTCCCCAGCAGAAGAAGCAGCAGCCTGGCCGCCCTCCTTCGCCTCCTCAAGGCGGCTCTGCCGGACTGGAGAGCATCAGCTGATCCTCCAGCTGTCGCGACGCCTTTACCGCAAGTGTCGCAAAGCGCCCCTGCCGGGGAGAGGAAGCCCAGGCTGCCAGGAGAAGTGTTTTGGACTTCCACTCCCAGAATGCCCAGCCCTTGAACACGCTGGCGAGGCCTTCTGGGAGTTGGAGGCGCAGAACCTGTCTTAGACCTCACAGTCTCCCAGAAGCTTCAGCTGCCAATGGCGAGGAAGGAACTCTGGGAGCTGGAGTCTATTGAGAAATTTCCCAGCCTTTCTAGCAGTGGCTCTCAACCTTCCTAATGCCGTGACCCCTTAATACAGTCCCTCATGTTGTGGTGACCCCCAACCATAACATTGTTTTTGTTGCTACTTCATAACAGTCATTACTACTGTTATAAATCATAATGTAAATATCAGATATGCAAGATGTATTTTCATTCACTGGACCAAACTGGGCACAAATACCCAATGCAACCACATGTAAATGCTAGTGGGGTTGGGGGAGGATTGATTTTGTAATTTGGGAGTTGTAGTTGCTGGGATTTATAGTTCACCTATAATCAAAGAGCATTCTGAACTCCACCAGCGATGATTTGAACCTAATTTGCCACACAGAACTCCCATGACCAACGGAAAACACTGGAAGGGTTTGGTGGGCATTGACCTTGAGTTTGGGAGTTGTAGTTCACCTATATCCAGAGAGCACTGTGGACTCATGCAATGGTGGATCTGGACCAAACTTGGCACAAATACTCAATATGCGCAAATGTGAACACTGGTGGAGACTGGGGAAAATAGACCTTGACTTTTGGGAATTGTAGTTGCTGGAATTTATAGTTCACTACAATCAAAGAGGAGCCCCCGGTGGCGCAGTGGGTTAAAGCACTGAGCTACTGAGCTTGTTGATCGAAAGGTCGCAGGTTCGATTCCGGGGAGCGGCGTGAGCTTCCGCTGTCAGCCCTAGCTTCTGCCAACCTAGCAGTTCGAAAACATGCAAATGTGAGTAGATCAATAGGTACCGCTCCGGCGGGAAGGTAACGGCGCTCCATGCAGTCATGCCAGCCACATGACCTTGGAGGTGTCTACGGACAACACCGGCTCTTCGGCTTAGAAATGGAGATGAGCACCACACCCCAGAGTCAGACATGACTGGACTTAATGTCAGGGGACTACCTTTACCTTTACCTTTTTACAATCAAAGAAAATTCTGAACTCCACCAACGATAGAATTCGCTCAAACTTCCCACATGGAATCCCCATGGCCATCAGAAAATACTTTGGTGACCCCTCCGGCACCCCTTTGCGACCCCCTCAGGGGTCCCGACCCCCAGGTTGAGAAACACTGCTTTATAGAATCACTGAGTTGGAAGAGAACTCGTGGGTCATTCAGTCCAACCCCATTTGGCCAAGAATCAAAGAAATTGCATTCAAAGCACCCCCGACAGATGGCCATCCAGCCTCCGCTTAAAAGCCTCCAAAGGAGGAGCCTCCACCACACTCCAGGGCAGAGAGTTCCACCGCTGAACAGCTCTCACAGTCAGGAAGTTCTTTTTCAGATCCAGATTTCATGAAATGGTTTTTTTGAAGAGAAAGTAGACAAAGCTGAGTGGAGAGCGGAAGACTGGGGGGCTTCAGAGGGTGTTCATATGATGATGATGATGATTTTTTTTTTAATCATGTCAGGAGCGGCTTGAGAAACTGCAAGTCGCTTCTGGTGTGAGAGAATTGACCGTCTGCAAGGACGTTGCCCAGGGGACGCCCGGATGATTTTGATATTTTTATCATCGTTGTGGGAGGCTTCTCTCATATCCCCGCATGAGAAGCTGGAGCTGATAGAGGGAGCTCATCCGCCTCTCCCCGAATTCGAACCTGCGACCTGTCGGTCTTCAGTCCTGCTGGCACAGGGGTTTAACCCACTGCGCCACCGGGGATAATGATGATGATTACGATTATTAGTATTAGTATTATTATTACTGTTATTATACTATAATCAGTTGTCAGAATTCAAGACCTCTCTCTTCCAGCAGGCCTACCCAAGTCCATTGCAAACTGTGAATATTTACCTGCATTTTACCATAGAATCCTAGAGTTGAAAGAGACCTCATGGGCCATCCAGTCCAACCCCATCCAACCAATAAGCAGGAAAATCGCATTCAAAGCACCCCCGACAGATGGCCATCCAGCCTCCACTTAAAAGCCTCCAAAGGAGGACCCTCCTCCACACTCTGGGGAAGAGAGTTCCACTGCTGAACAGCTCTCACGGTCAGGAAGTTCTTCCTCATGTTCAAGTGGAATCTCCTTTCCTGTATTTTAAAGCCATTGTTCTGTGTCCTAGTCTCCAAGGCAGCAGAAAACAAGCTTGTTCCCTCTTCCCAATGACTTCACATCTTGATACATGGCCCTCATCATGTCTCCTCTCAGCCTTCTCTTCTGAAGGCTAAACATGCCCAGCTCTTTAAGCCGCTCCTCGTAGGGCTTGTTCTCCAGGCCCTTTTGGTTGCTTTTCTCTGGACACATCTCTCTTCAATTGCAATGCCCAGAATTGGACACAGTGTGATTCCAGGTGTGGTCTAACCCAGGCAGAATAGAGGGGTAGCATGACTTCCCTGGATCTAGACACAATACTATTTATGCAGGCCAAAATCCCATTGGCTTTTTTTTTTTTTTTTTTTTTGCTGCTTCATGACATTGTTGGCTCATGTTTAACTTGTTGTCCACAAGGACTCCAAGATCTTTTTCACACATACTGCTCTCGAGCCATGAGTCCCCCATTCTGTATCTTTGCATTTCATTATTTCTGCCTAAGTGGAGTTTCTTGCATTTGTCCCTGTTGAACTCCATTTTGTTAGTTTTGGTCAATCATCTCTCTAATCTGTTAAGATCATTTTGAATCTTGCTCCTGTCTTCTGGAGTATTGGCTATCCCTCCCAATTTGGTGCCTTCTAACCCTTCATGTAAGTCAATAATAAAGATGTTGAACAGGACCGGGCCCAGGATGTCACTTCTTTCCAGGATGAAGAGGAAGCATTGGTGAGCACCTGTTGGGTTCGTTCGCTTAACCAATTACAGATCCACCTAACCATAGTTTTGCCTAGCCCACATTGGACTAGTTTGTTTGCCAGAAGGTCGTGGGGGAGCTTGTCAAAAGCCTTACTGAAGTCCAGATAACGCTACATCCATGGCATTCCCTGCATCTACCCAACTTGTAACTCTATTGCAGAAAGAGATCAGATTCATCTGGCATGACTTGTTTTTGATAATTCCGTGTTGACTATTATTTTTTATTTATTTACAGCATTTATATACAGCTTTTCTCACCCCTGGGGGGGACTCATTAGCGATGAACGCATTTGTTTCTAAGTGTTTGCAGACCATTTCCTTAACTTATGTTTTCCAGAATCTTGCCTGATACTGACATGAGGCAGTAATTGTTTGGGTCTTTCTTTTTTCCTTTCTTGAAGATAGGGACATTTGCTGTCCTCCAATCTGCTGGGACTTCTCCCGTTCTCCAAGAACTCCCAAAGATGATTGCCAGCGGTTCTGAAATAACTTCTGCGAGTTCCTTCAATACTCTTGGATGTAGTTGATCTGGCCCTGGGAACTAGGTTCTGTGGACTTCAACTTCCCAAAAAAGCAGTTACAGCATCTTAGAATGTTTTAAAGTAATGTTGGGAATGACAAGGAGAATTTCTTTTTCAAATCTGATGAACTTGCAATAAAGTGAAAAATTACTACTTATTTCTTCATTCCAAAACTTAAAAATAGATATTGTAACGTTACTAAAAAATATTTCTGCTGAGCATTATTGTTAAAAGATTTGGATTGTAAGTGACAGCACCATCAAGACTATGTTTTGCTCAAATTTGGAAATAGACCCAAGCGCTGATGATGGAAGAATGGATTGTTCCACCTGCTGAGTTGACCCACATGGACAAATGAATGTGGCTTCTAAAGATGCCAGATTAAGACTTTCTGAAGGCTGGCAAATGCATAGATATTGCAAGAAAGACAAACACTAATGATGCAATTAAGCTGTGGTTACGGTTTTTACCAACTTTAGTGAAATCCAGGTGGTCTGGATTTCAATTCCCACAGTTCCTAACACATGGTAGTCTGTTCAGAAGGGTTGAAAAGAGGCTGAAATCTCCTGAAAGTTTTACACTGATCAATAAATTTTGGGAAATGTTTTGTTTCCTTCCCGAATGTTGGGTGAACCAAGTAGATTTTACCACGATAAACACAACTATATATTTATTATATCTGTAGCACATACAGATATTCCAGATATAATACCAGATGTTTTTAGCTGTCTAAAGCATTTTAATGGAAAGGTAGACTATAATGAACCCAATGAATAAATTTTTAGTTCATAGGTCTTAAGACACAGTGCATGAAGTTCAGCTGGGGTTGTTTAGCCTGCTCTAAACTATTATTATGATTAGAACTGGATTGTATGGCTGTGTAGACTCATATAATCCAGTTCTAATTATAATACTGGATTATATGAGTCTACACTGCCATACAATCCAGTTCAAAGAAGATAACCTGGATTTAATATGGCACTGTAAAGTGGGCCTGAATGCAATTTGACCCTTCTTATAGGAGTTGTAGTTTCACAAGCTCCTTTTCTACCAGATAGTGCTGATGCCTCAATACCAAAGTGCATTGAGCCATTGCAGTTTAAATTGTGCATCAAACTCCATTCATTATGTTGTTGAAAACTTTCATGATGAATCACTGGATTGCTGTGTGTTTTCCGGGCTGTATGGCCATGTTCTAGAAGCATTTTCTCCTGACATTTCGCCCACATCTATGGAAGGCATCTTCAGAGGTTGTGAAGTCTGTTGGAAACTTAGCAAGTGAGGTTTATTTATCTGTGGAATATCCAGGGTGGGAGAAATAACTATTGATTAGCATTGAATAGCCTGGCAGCTTCAAATCAAAGAATCGGAAAGGCAGTGCAGACTAATTCAACCAGAGAAGTCAGCTGTAGCAGAGCACTCGATGAACTAACATGGACACAACATATTATTTGAGAACACAAAATGCTGGACCACTCTAACAACCACCATGTCAGCCTACACAGAGAAGCCACTGAAATCCACAAGCACCTGGGCAATGTCAACAGAAAGGAGGAAACCATGAAAATGAACAAAATCTAACTACCAGTATGTTTTTAAAAAAACACTCTAAATTCAGGACAGTAAATAAAGAGCAAAACTCAAATTGTCCATGTGCTTGTGGATTTCAGTGGCTTCTCTGTGTAGTCTGACATGGTAGTTGTTAGAGTGGTCCAGCATTTTGTGTTCTCAAATAATTGTTTCCTGTTTGGGGAATTCCAAACAGGAAACAATCAGGGTCAGCTAACACTTCCCAACAAAGGATTCCCCCAGACAGCAACACCTAGGCTTGAGAGCTGCAAGGCTATTCAATGTGAATCAAGCTGTCCAATGGCAACATTCACACCTGCCCCCAACAGACAACAGTTCCTTCTCCCACCCTGGACATTATTCCACAGGTATATAAACCCCACTTGTCTAGTTTCCAACACACCTCACAACCTCTGGGGATGCCTACTATAGATGTGGGCAACATTAAAATGGTCAACATTAAAAAAATGTTGACCATTTCCACTACCTTGGCAGCCACCTCTCTATCAAAGTCAATTTTAGAATTTTTTAATACTGGTAGCCA